TATGTATGTAAATTGAATTGGCTCGAGACGGGGATGTTACAGTAGAAATATTTAACTCATATATATATATATATATATATATATATATATATATATATATAATTTTGTATCTTGACTTTAAGTAGTAAAAATCTTGCGTTTCATATCGTTTCTACGATTTACGTTTCTACCACTACTTTTATGTTTCTACCACCCCTTTCATTTTAACGTAGAAACTCGATTTTGAATATCATTGCATGAGCCTACCTAACAAAGAAAATATATATGAATAATATTTCACTTGCAAGAAATTTTAAATTAAGAATAAGGTCTTTCTAAATTCCGTTTGTATTCATATCATTAACCACCGACAAAGTATCGGTGGAAAAATTTACACAAAAGAATTAGTTTAGAAGGTTCCTTAATAATACAAAACTATAATTTAATTTGCATATCTATTTTAAAAGGTATTTATAGCATTTTTAACATTTGATCCATTTTATTCCGTTATTTTGTTAGTTAATTTGTTCTCTTAATAATGGAGAACTTATATAAGCTAGGATGGGTGATTTCTTAAAATAGCTTCACCTTTAATAAGGTAACCAATTTGTAAACCTCCTTGATTAATCAATAATTTTCAATTGAGTTACAAACAAAATAAGCATATATAGCAGCATGAAAACATTATACTAATTTTGAAATTGAACTCTAATGCGTAATTCTTTCTTACCTATATGACATTGACAAGGACATTATAATGGCAATAATTGAAAAACAATGCTTTCGGAAAATGTCATATTTCCATTCAAAACAAATAAAAGAGAAAATAGCTTCTGACCAACTTGTGTGGGAACTCCTTCACATACATGTCAATTCATCTTCATATCTTTTTAATCGTAACAAGCTTCCATGATAAGGACAAAAGAGAAGTGACTTAACCTCACATGCAATCGTACACGCTTATGAACAAGCAGCACAAGTCTATTCATCTTGTGCTTCTTTTTATTTCAACTAACTTCTGAATAACTGAAAAAGAAAATAAACAAAATACAGTGTGAAAGCAATCTACATTATGTATGACCAAATTCTAGAGAAATAAGGACATTTCCCATAAAATTTTCTCTCTTACGTGATAATCTATGTCATTGTCTTAAGAATTAGGTGATAATCTATGTTATTGTTATAACACTGGAGTCTCTTTCAAACACTAAATTAATGAATCAAGTAAAAAAATTCTATTTAAATTTCCATGTAAAAGGCTTCAGTTCTTTTATTGTTTTATTTTTCTGCTAGATTTCTTTTTCTTTTTTATTTCGAAATTCCTTTTAGGTCATTTATCAATTCAATTTGTATTTTCATTTTCTGATAAATCATTATCAACCCACATAAAACAGCCTTTAAATTTATTTTATGGGACATATTAGATAGAGAGAAAGAGAGAGATTAAAATTGTCAGGTTATTATTAAAGTCTACCTTAAAATGGATAGGGAGAAAGCCAGCCTGTTATCATATCTAAATCCTAATTGAAAAAGGAGAAAAAGCCCACAATAGCTGATGAAATCATACTGGACCCTACCATGTTAGATGCACATGCAAGTTTCGGTTAGGCTTTCTCTTAAATCTTAATCCATGTCTTTTTTCCCCCCCTAAGATTTTATGAACCAATCAATCATATAAGCTACCATTAAATGCTTTTAATTTTATAGCAAAATCAATTATATACGACACCCTTATATTCTGCATACCATTAGCTAGTATGTACATGAATTTGAAAGAGAATCCTCCCTAACTTTGCAGCCATAGTATTTTTTTCCCTCTCAAAAAATCCAATTTTTGTCACTTCCCACTAGGAATATGCCACCTTTGGTACGTTTGGATCTTCTTTGGCACCTTTCACCCTAAGGATTACACATAGGTGCAAGCATATCCAATTTAAAAAGGCATGCAACTTACTAAAAAAAATAAAATAAAAAAATTAGAATCTTCATCCCCTCATAACATATAGAAATGAAACTTCCAAGATGCACCGCTATTCTTAGTATTTGTGTAAGGTAGATATGGACAATTTTGAGACATGAGGAGCAAAGGGTTTTCCATCTGAAAACGATGTTTCCTTTCTCTCCTCCCGGGACCCCCCTTCCTTTTGTTAAATTATAACCAAAAAAAAAAAAAGATGGAAAAAAGTAGGCTAGGATGTAGGAACATAACAAGGGATGAAACAACAAAGTTACTTATTTAATTAAAATGTGAACTCAATAAGACATACCAGATTTGTTTGGTTTGTGCTGTTGGTTTAGGGATCAATGAAAGTTCCCTTCACAAGGGATTGTCCCATATTCGGTCCCATTGTTATGGAAAAGGAACTTGTGGATGACCTTGGAATGGTAGCTTTTTGGTCTAGTTCAGCTGAATTATAGGACACACACATGGAACCAAGTTGAGAACTTGTGAAGGGTAGGGCTCAGAGTGAAGCTCCAAATATGTCTATCCTTTTTAACCTCGGAGTTTGTAGATCTGATGAATTGTAGAAGTAATATATGGGTCATTGTGATGCAATATAATGAGGAGTTAGATAAAATATAACAAAATCTTGAATTTTTGAAGTTGTACAAAACAAACTAGAGGAAAATAAAATCTAATCTTTGCATCAGTTATATCCACAAAACTAAACCTAGCTTAGGAAACCACAACAGTTGAAACAAAGATCCATAAAATTGATGTTATACAAACTAAAGGTAATATTATATATTTTTTAACATTTTATTTTCATCTTTGAAGTTTTATTGATCTGAAATAGCCAGTTCATTTTTATTTTTATTTTAAAAGGGCAACAATATTTTATTAATTCATTAACGAATTTTTATCACGCAACAATAGTTGACTGACATAGACTAACTTGATAATAAATTAGACAGAGATATGAATAACAAAAATGTTATTGCACTTTTCAAAGATAAATGACGATTTAAATTTAAAGAGTAAACACTCAAATCAGTCTTCGAAATAGTAAGTAGGTCTTTTAAAAATTTTATATAGCAATTTGGTCTCTCAATATTTAAAATGGATATCAATTTAATTCTTTAATACATATTCAGACATCAATTTAATCCTTAAAATGATAATTATTTTACAATATAGCTAAATCGATGTCAAAAATCTTTATAGGACCAAATTTATATCATGGACAAATTTAAGCATGTACTCTAAATTAAACAAAACTTAAGTAACAAAAATGAAAATTAAACAAATTGAAAGACAACTAATAATTTTAAGTATAATAATAAATGTTAGAGAAATCATCTGGTTATGTTACAAAAAATCGACTATTCTTTCCTGCAGATACATGGATATCCGTGCATCACTTTTTTTCTTTTTCTTTTTTATAAAAACTGATGGAGCCCACTTGCACTTGCATTGTGAGTGTAGCATGATGCAAGTTTTTTCCGGTGACATAATATTCATAAATTCCTAAATGTTAAGCATGGCTGGTAAGTAAGACATCTAATTCATTATGCTTCTGAGCCTAGAGAGCAGAAGCAGTGGATTCCAGGACCTACCAGTTACCGTCTATTTTGCCCTTCTTTATAGTATAGATGCATTCTGTTAAAATTGATCTTGATCTTCGATCAGTAACTAAGTCTATGAGTTTGGATCTTAGAAATTTTTGTAAGAACATAGCTGTCTTAGATCTATGAACTTAGCTGTCTAAATTTCTTCTGTGCAGAGGTGTAAATAGACTAGGTCAGCCTACTGCCTAACCTATATTAGATCAAGCTTAACCTATTACAAATAAACAAATAAAATAGTAGTGTTATTAAACCCGACCCAGGCATTGACCCGGTCAGGGTACAGGGTTACCAGTCGGACTAGTTGACCCAGATATTTATAGATATATAAAAATATGAACATATAAATTCAATTATATTCTCCATATCTAAAATGAAAGGTTCACTAAATAAGCTAAAAAACATGAAACATAAATAAATAAAAATGCACGCTATTACTATGTCAATTTAAATTGCAACTCAATCCCTGTAAACATATCTCTCAATGACATTGAACTCATATTTTTCAAATTCAACTACATTACAATGACATATGTCAATAATTCAAAAAAAAAATGACATATGTCACATTCTCTGAATTTATTATTTCACAAATTGTTTTAGTATTGAAAACTGAAATTTGAAGTCACTATACAAGAGTATACTAGCAAATAAAATTACAAAAAAAATTAAAAATGAGTTCTACATTTTTTTCTGACAAGATGAAACAATTTTAGTTTTTTTTTTAAATGCATGACCCGACCAGGTCACCGAGTTACCGATTTTGACCAAGTTTGACTGGATCGATGCATGACCGGTCTAATGCTTGACCCAAACCGGTCCGATGACCGATTCATCAAGTTCCGTGTCGACCCAGCCGGGTCGGGCTGAGTTTTACAACAGTGTAAAATAGGCTTAGACTTTTAAAAAGTTCTATTTAGAAAGCAAAACATAAATTTTTTTGTACATGTCGAGTTAATAAGCCTACAAGCCGACCTACATCATATTATTTATTTTAAATAAAATAAATAAAATTATTATTTTAATAATTTTGAATAATAAAATAATATTATTTTAATTATTTTTTTAATTATTGAATGTTTAATATGTTTAAACAAGCTATCAAGCATAGGCCAAAGTTTTTATTTTTTAAATATAGATCAGATCAGACTTATAATTTAGGACCTACATAACCTAACAGGTCAAGCCAGACCTAAAATTTTTCACATAAACTTAATCTATTTAAATCAAAGTCTAACCTTACCTGACAGATGAAGCCAATAAATTTTATATATAGTCCACTGCACCTATCAAATTTGAAAATAATGCTTGGTACACAAAATTTCAAAGCATGTCAGCATCCAGCGAAGTTACAGAAATAAAAGTAGAGGTGTCAGTGTGTACAAATCAAAGTGAAACTACTTGTAATTAAATAATGCAAATTATACAGATACAAGGTACTGTTTGTAGATGTGTGTAGTATTATACAAAATTTGGATAGTTGAGAACAGTACACAAAGTGCACCATATCCAATCATGCAAGAACCTTAGTTCGTTCAATAAGTAATTCTACCATCTGATCCATGTGAAAATAAGTTACATCCGCACTACTGAAAATGTTAATTTGTGTGTACAAAACAAATACAGAGGCCAGGCATAGTACCTTAGAATTAATTGAATGACAATTTTTAGATTATGTACATATCAGAATTTAGAAATGAAAAAAAAAAAATTGGTCAGATAAATTTATCGGCCCAAAAATGCAACAAGATCCTTTTGCAGTGCTTGTGTTAGGTTGATATCAAAGAGCTCACAACGTATAGGCATCTCCATCTCATAGAAAGGATTCTTCAAAACATAGTCCGTGTACAATTCATATATAAATTTCAATAAACTTTCCATGTTTTGTGTCCCAGGCTCACAGACCACAAAAATCTTTGTCCCTGTGTGGGAGAAGAATCAATTTCATAATATCAAGGTCAGAAAAAAATAAAAAAGGGGTGAGGAAATCATTAGATCTTGCTTCATTTTGCCAGATGCATTAAACAGAAAATGGTAACAACTGCTCAACAATAAAAAGACAGGCGCATTAGGATGACAAATCTGCAATATAAATGCAAACGCAATAACACACACAGCCAAACATCTAGAAATTTTTCAACTCTCAAGAACTCAAGTTCATGACCCAAAATCAGAAGATGCACGAGACCTAGAGGCATCTAAAATCTTATATTGTGTATAGAAGACCAAAAGAGGACATTTAAAGAAAATGAAATGAGCAATGGATGCTCATTATCTGAAAAATGCTAGTGCATAGAAAATTATTACACCTACACAGTATGCAAAGAGTCTGTAAAACTAACAGTAACATTTAACAATAATAATCAAATACAAATGACAGTGTAAGTGTACAGATTAAGTGGGATTACATATAAAGGTCTTCTATCTACTACCTTCCACATGATATATACTGGGTCATGTCACCAGCAAGCTGCATCGATTACAACAAGATCCCAGCCTGCCTTCCTAATGATTCTTATTTTTTACTCTAAATTTTAAGTCATAATCAGGTGTCCTAGAAAATAATGATTTCTAAATTTGGAATATATACAACTCTGCCAAACTATAAGTTCACTAAATAACAGGGTTTTAAGATAGAATCATGATTCTACCGGTAAAACCCCAAAGCAATCAAGTTCATGTTTTGAACAAGCACTTAAATAAGCAACACTTCTGTTACCAATAATGATCTAGAGCTTCTGATATACTATAATTACTTAAACAATCTTTAGTTGAAACCTGGCCATAATACAGCTTGCGAACTGCAAGGCCTCATGCATGTGTGTGCATGAAAAACAAAAGCCGGTACTAGATATTCCAATTAACTATATGTAAATGATGTTAGGCATTCACTCTTCGCTTTTCACCGGTAAATTAGAAAGTTAACATAATAATGAGTTGAAGACTAATATGAGAAAAAATACCCGTCAGTGATTGAAAGCAATGAAGATCAAATGTGTCAGCTTGGAGAAGTTCAATTCCTGAACAACCAGAGACAGGTGATAACTGCTGAGAGATAGCATGCATTGAGTGCCATAAACTTGCCACCCGCAAGCTGTCATTGGTATCCATTCGTCCAGCAGACCCATAATCCTAAATGTCAAAAGAATTAATACAATTCTAAAAGAAAAACTTCACTGCAACTATGCCTAAGATATTTGAAATTGAAGTCTACTTTTAACAAAAGGTACGAAACAGAGTTAAGCTGTCATTGCTAACCATCGGCCCACTGGCCCCATGTCCTAATTATCATAAGATTCAACATATTTCCTAAACATACTGACAGTTCTAAGAAACAAATAACTTCAAATACCACAAACGGATGGAATGCAAAGTTATCTTGGTCATTTATTTAATTAAACGTATCAGCTGAAGCTGGAAGGGCCGGCTTGGCTCAGCGGTAAGCTTGCTTGCCGTGGTGTGTCAGGTCGCGGGTTCGAATCAGCCTCTCTGCAAAAAGCAGGGGAAAGACTGCCTAGAGTATTCCCTTCCCCAGACACTCACGAAGTGGGTATTTGAACTGGGTCGGCCCTTTATCAGCTGAAGCTGAGTCTAAAAGGTGAACATACGTGGCCTAATTAACAATGCAAGATTTTTAGCTCATCAACCAGAGAGAACGATGCAACAATAACAATGCTTTGTGCCACCAATTTTGGGGGAACATTAAAAAAAATAATTAAAAAAAAATGGTCTTAGGAACCCAATAGAAAATAGTTTGAAGTTCCCATTAGTGAGCAACAAGAAGAGAATTTAGAACGACCATACCTTGTGGTAGATCAATCCACCAGACTTATTGATGATGTAAAGACTGTAAATTGCCGCCATTCTAAAAACTTTTCCAGAATCTGAAATAAAGGTGATGATGGGGTTTAACAAGGAAATTCTCAAATTTAAACAATCATACTTTCCACAAAAACACTATATCGGATTTAGAGTACAATTAAAAACCAACTAATAATATTAAACACCAAATGAAAATAATCATTACAATGAAATATTTCAAACATGAATCAATATCCAAAACTAGGGATGTGCAAAATAACCAAAAAATTGAACCAAACTGTGAACTGAATTGCACTTAAAATAACTGATTATTAAAAACCAGCTCATGAAACTGGTTATTAAAAATCAGTTCATTAACCAAACTGATTTTTAAAAAACTAGTTTATAAAACCACTTCAAGAACCGAACATTTTCGAACAGATCCGATTTTTATTACTTTATTTCTTTAATTTTTTAATTTAATTTTCTTTTCTGAATCGGGTCTACCAGAATAAGTTTCGAATTGAACCATTTTCGAACTGAACAGAATCAGTTTTGAATCGAATCGAACCGTTTAAACCAATTCTGTTCGGTTTTTGAAACAATTCTGTTTAATTCGACCCATGCTAATAATACCATAAAAAGTATCCCATAACCAAATAATAAGAACGAAAATTTGGCAATTTTCTTGACAGAAAAAAGAAACTTGATTGGAGAGAAAAGAGGGAAAGGATCAAAAATTGATGTATGTAATGGTAGTGGTAGTCATACATCATCTTCAACCATATCACATTCCCTTCCCTTATATTTTTCTTTTAAAACCCAACTAAAGTAACCATCTTTTAAAACTCTTAATTTGACTAGTTAAAGCCAGCTAGCTTGAGCTTAACTTTGAGAAGAATTAAATACTCTGTGAACAATCAAATCAAAGCTTATATAAAAAGAAGCAATTAGTTTAAGACCTAAAGTTGATTGTAAATTTCAAATCAACCTAAAAGTCACACTCTTTGCTAAATATGAAATTTTGATTTTGCATATTCATTTTGAAGAAATTGAGCAGACCCACAACCCACATAGGAAAACCAAATCAACTAATGGCCAGAATAAATCTTATTAGTAAGAATAGATACCCCATTCCCAGAAAACCCCCAAAATAGAGAGAGAGAGAGAGAGAGATCATGAAAGCGAATTTGCTAAGGGCACCTGAAACCAATGAACGTGATGAGAATTGTGAAAGGATCTGAATATGGATCAGAATTTGAAGTCACTCGCAATGGAACCTTGAGCTGTAGCTACGATCATCATCAGGCATCACTGAGAGACTGAGACTTGCTTATAATCCATTGCACAAAACCAAATATAATTTCTCATCGTAAAAAAAGAATTATATTAATAAAAGAAGGGATTAATGAAAGAATTATATTAATAAAAGAATTTTATCTCATTTTACATATAATAATTTTATCAATTACACCTTTAAAATACGTGAAACGCACGTATATTCTATACACTTTACATTTTCTACGTACGTAAAAAATAAAATTATTTTCTATAATATAAAAAATATTAATCTCAAATAATGTTGTTTAATTGCAAATCGGAGACAATTATATGAGAATTTATGTTATTAAATGATACATCAGCCGCATCAACATATCTTTCTAAATTTCTACCAGTTATTTTTTAGTATTTTAAAATTTTATTATAAACTCAATATTATTTTTGTATTTTTCTTCCTCGTTAATTTGTAATTTTATTATTTCATTTTCTAAGGGTATAACCTTTGAAAAAAAAAGGATAAACAAAAGTATAAAGCTTTATTTTTTTTAAAAAAAAATCGTGTTTATTTTATTACTTCTTCTGCTGTTTTAAATATATTTATTATTTAAAGTAATTCCACAAAAATTAATATAGATATTAAAGGCATTTTTGCTTCCCCTTTGGTGAATGCCACACTTGTATTTCCATCCCTTAAACGCTCTCTTAAATATAATTATATTCAACTAAATTATTCATTATCATCATGTATCTAAAAAATATATTTATTATCAAAGTACTAAAAACTATTATCACTCCATTAATGACTTTTCCATTCCATTTTTTTTTTTGTGAACAATACCATTCCATTTACTTCATTTAGGAGAGATAACAAGAGGTAAGAATAAAGTTAAAAAAAGTCAATTAATATATTTTTGGAATATAAGAGTTAAAATGAAGTCGTAATAAATACCAAAAAAAAAAGTCGTAAATACATTTAAGGGAACACAGACCAGTGTCTCAATCAGACCAAAACTTAAAATATCTTGAATTTGTTATGTATTTTTTATGATTTTAAATAATTTCTTTTGATTTATACTGTTAAATTTTACATCAATTAATTACGTATATATTTTTTATAATTTTAAATATTTTTTCTCTTTTGATTTATATTTTTTTATATTTTACCTAAGCTTAAAAATATTTATGCTATGTACAGAATAATTGCCAGTAATATATGTAAGGGAAAAAAGTTTCCGATGTTACTTTAGATAACTTTATCTAATGTTCATCGAAACGACGTCGTTTTGGGTTTGAAAAATTAAAAAATTAGAGTGATAAAGACTATTATAACCCTGAAATAAATTAAAATTACAAAAATACCATGATTTCCATC